AGTAAAAAAAAAAAAAATTTTTACCACATAAAATTTTTTTAATACACAAAACAAAAAAGGAAATGCACAATTACATGACACTTACTTTTTTTGAAACTGGTAGATTGATGGATGGAGGAGGGGGGGGGAGTGTTGTTTTTTAAAAGGGGAATCCCCTCCATTAAAATTTTAGGTTCGATCCTTTTCTGGGGTTATTCCCTTCTTTTTTTAAAGCCAAAGGCCGCTTCGAGTCACGGATTTTTCGCACAACATATCTGTCCATGGGGGCCTTACCTCTCGTTCCTTTATGATTTTCCCCCAAAAATTTCAAAAAATTTTCGGGGACGGTTTTCCAACACGGCTTTCAATAGCTGTGTAGGGTGATTTTCATCCATGAAAGGGTTTATTCAAACCCCTTTTCACAGATTTCCTTAATCTTTGAGTAGGAATTTTCAATTTCTCTCTCCCCTCCTCGAACCGTTTCCCCAGGTCTGGCCCCTTGCTGTTGAAGTTGATCTTTTGCTCATCAGTGGTTAGTTTTTCATTGTCCCCCCACCAACTTTCCACATCATCCCCCCTAACTTCCAAAACCCTAAGGGTTTCCCAATGCCAAATGGATTCCTCAACTGGCATAAACCTTCAGGGTTTTGCCTCAAACCCCTTTAAAAAACCCTTTTTTTCTACACATTCTGGCCACAGTTTCTTCCAAGCGAGTTAAGGTCTTTTGTCATCCCTCCCAAGCCTTACCTTTAAGGGTTACACAATTGAGGATATTAAATGCTCTCTCCAAAACTCTTTGATCATTTTAGTTTCTGAGGTCACTACAAGCACCTTTCAAAAAAGAGTTTTTTGTCAGTTTTTTGAAATTTTCAATAACGCGGGTCCCGGGTGCAGGAGAGGGGGTATTGGGGCAAAAATTACCTTAATGTTTATGGCCCCATAAAGGTCTGCATGTTGTAGGATGACCCGGGGCATTGTTTAACCCAGGGGGCATTAATTTTAATTTTCTTTTCATTGGTAATCTTTTAATTGGGGGGAAATGCATGGTGTAACCCCTCATAGAAAAAATCCCTAGTGACCCATGCCTTTCTGTTTGCCCTCCCCCACCACACAAATTCTCCTTGAGGAATTCTTTTTCCCGAACGCCGGGAGTTTCAGAGTGATAACTAATAAAGGCTTCCTTTTCAATACCCGTTGCATTGGAAAACACAAAAAGTAGCCTGTTTTCATAGGGGTTTGTCCCGGGAGTGCCTTTTCCCTCCTGAGTAAAGTAGGTCCCGCTTACATTTTCTTCCAAAAAAAGGCTTTTTTCACACAATTAAAACTTGTTCAGGTTTCAGCCTTTACGTCTTGTACTTTTGAATTTCCCGCACATATTTTTTAGCTGCTTTGTGGTCCCAACGACGCCCCACCTACCTTTAAAACTATGTAGCCATCGCTTCTTTAAAACCTCAAACCAAACCTTTTTCGGCCTTAATTTACTACATCATCCTAGTTTCAGGGATTTTTTTAAATTTAAAACCTCATGCAACTTTCCCAGCCTTTGCTTATGTCGTTGAGAGACACTTTCCTCTAGCTGTTTTTCTTTATCCACACCAATAAGGTCTCTCAACATCTTCCAAACTTCGATCTCTGTTTCGAAAAAACCGTTTTAAAACCCTTTTGGGAAGAAAAAGCTTCCTTGATTGCCTTTTTGTTGCCAAAATAGTACGTGGGTTTATTTGGGTTTCTTGACAACCTGACCGGTCGGGGACACGCACCCACTTTTATACTTATCAAGTCTTTTCTCACTCTCTAGTAATTTCAAACCCCCATTCCGTAGGGTTGATAGAACTTTCCCCCCCCCCCCCCCCCCGGGGCCCATGGTCACTTATTTTTCCCGATAAAGCACCGAAAAAACTGTAATAAAACGAAAAATTCCCATTGTATGCTTTGGGGGTTCCGGGAGGCTGGCTGGAAAAAAATGCCACCGGCGGAACATGTGAGGCTGGCGGGGCGCACATTGGGGCGTCTTGGGCAAAGAGCGGTTTAGGGGTTTTTGGGCGGATGCAAGGGAAAAAATTTTTGCGAACAAAAAGGGGCGGTATGCGGGTTTTACATATGCGATGCGTCGGTAGCGGGGGTCCACTGTAAAATAATGAAACCCCTCATGCTGCAATTGGAATGGCTATTCGGGAAAGGTATTTGCTGGACATCAGTTTTACCTTGAACACAGCAAAGAATCGAACTTTCTGTATGCTAAAATAACAATAGTAAAAATTATAATAATAATAATAATAATAAAAACAATATAAATTTAAAAAGGAAATTGTAAAAAATTTTTAAGGGGTGGGTTTAACATCATGTGTAGCTTTGTTTATGCTGGAGTGAGCATTATCTCCCCTGTCTTCCAAAAATTTCCCAAAAATTTAGCGGTTGAGGCAGTGGTATTTAATAACATATATGTTATAAATAATAATAGTACATGTTACTATTAATAACATGTATTATTATTATTGACATGTATGTTATTAAATACCATTGCCTCAATTGCTGCCTCAATTGCTGCCTCAATTGCTGCCTCAATTGCTGCCTCAACAGCTGCCTCAACAGCTGCCTCAACAGCTGCCTCAACCACTGCCTCAACAGCTGCCTCAACCACTGCCTCAACAGCTGCCTCAACCACTGCCTCAATCGCTGCCTCAACCACTGCCTCAACCACTGCCTCAACCACTGCCTCAACCACTGCCTCAATCGCTGCCTCAATCGCTGCCTCAATCGCTGCCTCTACCACTGCCTCTACCACTGCCTCAATCGCTACCTCAATTGCTGCCTCTACCACTGCCTCTACCACTGCCTCTACCACTGCCTCTACCACTGCCTCTACCACTGCCTCAACCGCTGCCTCAACCACTGCCTCAATCGCTGCCTCAATCGCTGCCTCAACCACTGCCTCAATTGCTGCCTCAACCACTGCCTCTACTACTGCCTCTACCACTGCCTCTACCACTGCCTCTACCACTGCCTCTACCACTCCAGTCACACTCAATCTACAAGCACCAAACACAATGAATTATTGTGAAATGTTTGGAAGAGCATGGAGACTAATGCTCACTCCAGCATAAACAAAGCTACACTGACGATGTGTCAACCACTCCCTCGTATTTTTGCACAATTTCCTTCTTCAATTATATCGTATTTACTAGTGCTGCTGCTGCTGCTTCTGCTGCTTCTGCTGCTTCTGCTGCTGCTTCTGCTGCTGCTTCTGCTGCTGCTTCTGCTGCTTCTGCTGCTTCTGCTGCTTTTGCTGCTTCTGCTGCTGCCGCTGCCGCCGCCGCCGCCGCCGCTGCCACCACCACCTGTAGCAGATATGTTTGATTCTTTGCTGTGTTCAAGAGTAAACACATGATGTCACTGTCTAATACCTGTCCGAATAGCCATTCCAATATGCAGTCATGAATGTGTTTACATTATTTATTATACTGTAGTTTAATAGCAAATAATGAACAAACAAAACACTCACCACACTGAGTGGTGGGAGGGCTGGCTGCCAGTTGCGGGGGTCGGAGGGAGGGTAGTAGGGACTCGCAGGTGGCGGGAAACTTAAATACGATTTGGCGGTTGGGAATTCGCGAATGTGTGAAGCCTGTGAAAGTTGAAAACGTGAATGTTGAGGGAGACCTGTACTCTGATAATTATACTTATGTACACATATACCTGTACCTAAATATACTTACACACTGTGCTGGCATGCAGGTACACATTAAAATCAGTAAGAGTGTCTTATGTCTCAAGACACCATGTTAGTAATGATAATAATAATGATCACCGAGTCTCATTCAGTGTCGTATATTACGTTTATATACACTTTTTCATTAATCCATCTATGATATTTTTTTAAAATTATATAATAAACATGATACGTAACATATAAACACGATAAATACACCCCACAGTAGAATAAATTAACATAAATATGATGTGGTAGCCAGACGACTTGTACGAATGACGGCAAGAATAATGTTTTCTCTAGTCCAGCATCAGAGAAAATGTGTATACTATAATATTACTGGGGGTAACTGTAGAAAATTATTCCATTCGTATGCCTTCAGTCAGAACGTCATTTCTTCTAAAAATGGTGTTACATGAGAATGGGAATGTTGCTCTTTATTTATTCTACCATATCAACGTAGAGACAACTTTTACACAAACCAGACACATACGCCTAGTTTGTTTACATAACTCCGTGCCTGTCCTCTCTCATGTACTCATTCTCGCTCTCTCTCATTTATTCGTTTTATCTCATTTACTCACCTGTGACCCTACACTAAGACTACAAATATTTTAAGGTAAGTAATGAGTGTACTATATGTGTATTTTACTTTTTTATTGTTTTTTAATGCCTAGTGCTATTGCTAACTTAATATATGTTAGTGTAAACTTGTTATCTATAAGTGGAAAAAAGTTTGTACCACTTTCCGGCAATTTCCGCTTTACAGTGGTACCCTAGAACCTAACCTGCCATATAAGTGGGGCCCTACTGTACAACCTCTCCTCACTTAACGACTGAGTTCCATTCCTAAGACCGTGTTGGTAAATGAGTTCATCGCTTAGTGAGGAGCATACTGTAATGGTAGTGGGTTTATCAACCATCTTTGACATTGTTTTAATGTCACCTTTGCACTATTTATAACATTTCTGGATATTTTTAAATTTTTATACAGCAGTGTACTATATATTGTAGTAAACAGAATAGAGGAAATTAGCTCTAATATACATTATTTAGGTATGCATACTGGTCAGAGAGTCCGTCGTAAATCTGAGTCGTCGGTAAACGAGTACATTGCTAAGTGAGGAGAGGCTGTATATACTTGCTTCATCACTCTTTTCTGTTAGTGTGACTTTGTAAATGGTCCAAGTCAGGCCAAAACATTGTCATAAGCTCCTCTCTCCTATGTGTGGGTTATTTGATTAAAACTACAAGAAATATTACACTTGTTTAATGTTATTCTGTAGTCCAAAAATGGTGCACTTTGTTCTAGGTTTGGCACTTTCCTGGGTCTAGCTCATGCAGCAACAACTGCTGAAGGTGACAATTGTGTCCTTATGCAAAAAGTGGCCAAAGAACGGCTGGAAACTTTCACACCCTTATCAACAAATGCTGATCTTCCAGCAGATCCAGCCAGTATTGATTTCTTACATGATCTACTGAATCAACGGGAAAATCTTTTCTTCAAGGTACAGTACTTACTATATTAAAGTCCACATAATATTACAATACATGAAAAATAAAGTTTAGTATAATGTGAACAGTCTTTAACCCTTAAAACAAATTTACTTTTTGAAAGAGCATATTTTTCTAGATTAAGTCTAACTTTATTTATTTATTTAATAATTTGAACATACATACAGAGGTACAAAAAAATACAGGTAAGAGCAGCATGCCAAAGCCACTTGTATGCATAGCATTACGGGCAGGCTTAAAATTAACTTAAGATTAACTAAGCAATGATGTAATCAGTGATAAAACATTATTGTAAACAGATAACAATAAAGCACAAATGAGTATTACAATGACAGGTCATATGGTTGCATGCATTGCTGTACATTCAGTAGAATGGAGTATTCTGTTAGGTAGTGTATTTAAAAAATAACAAAGTTAGATTGGGTCTTAGGTTTAACATATATGTGATATAATTGTGAGAAACATTTAAGATATACAATTTATAAGGTTCAGTTATTCAGTATTTATTTGGTTTTGGGTGAGTAAGTGATCTTTGAGAAGAGACTTGAATTTATAAACAGGTAGTGTTTCTTTTATATTTACAGGTAATGAATTCCAGATTTTAGGGCCTTTTATGTGCATTGAGTTTTTGCATAGCATGAGATGGACACGAGGAACATCAAAGAGTGATCTGTGCCTTGTGTTATGGTCATGTGTTCTGTTGAGGTTGGCAAGGAGATGTTTGAGGGGAGGGTTAATATCAGAATCAAGTGTTCTATGTATGTAATAGGTGCAGTAATAAGTATGGATGTTTTGTATGGTGAGTAGGTTTAGTGTTTTGAATATTGGTGGAGTGTGCTGCCTGTATTGGGAATTTGTTATCATTCTGACTGCAGCCTTTTGTTGGGTAATTAGTGGTCTGAGATGGTTAATTGTTGTTGAACCCCATGCACAAATTCCATAGGTGAGATAGGGGTAAATAAGAGAGTGATATAGGGCTAGGAGGGCTGACTGTGGAACATAGTACTGTATCTTCAATAGTATGCCTACGGTCTTGGAAATTTTCTTAGAAATTTGTTGTATATGTGTATGAAATTTGAGTCTATTATCAAGGTGGATTCCTAAGAATTTTCCCTCTGTTAGCTTTGTGATAGGTGATCCGTTTATCATTATGTTAAGAGGGACATCTGTAGCTCTGTTACCAAACTGAATGAAGTAGGTTTTGTCAATGTTTAGTGTAAGTTTGCTAGTCCTCATCCAGGTAGATATTTTCTGTAATTCGGTATTTACAGTATTGGCTAGCATGACTGGGCTCGGGTGAGAGAAGACGTGTGTAGTGTCATCTGCAAATAGTGTGGGTTTGAGTAATTGCGAAGCATTTGGTAGATCATTTATGTATAGGAGAAAGAGAAGAGGGCCAAGGACACTTCCCTGTGGGACACCAACTGTAATTGGTTGTGCGGAAGAGTTTGCCCCATTTGTGTACACATATTGGCTTCTGTTGCTGAGGTATGACTTGAGGTAGTTGAGGGAGTGCCCTCTTATACCATAGTGTGACAATTTTATGTGGAGCAAGTCATGGTCAACTGTATCAAAAGCTTTACGTAAGTCAATGAAGATCCCCAGTGGGACTTCTTTTTACTCTATTGCAGTGTATATATGTTCTAGCATGTGTATAATAGCATCATTAGTATTTTTAATAGGCCTGAATCCAAATTGGCAGGGGTTGAGTATGTTTTGGGAGATGAGGTAGGAGTAGATTCGTTTATGAATTAATTTTTCGAAGATTTTTGAGAGAGGGTGTAAGTTGGATATTGGCCTATAGTTATTCAACTCTGTTTGATCTCCTCCTTTATGGTGTGTTGAAGTTGACAGAAATATGGTCACTTGGTAGCAACAGCAGTACAATTGTGCATAGAATAAGATTTTGCTCAAATTTTCTTTTTAAATATAATTGTAACTCCAGTTTTTATTAAAATTATGATATGTAATTTATGTATTTTCAAAATGTTTCTGGTAACTGCTAAAATCAAAATATTTTGACTAAAATTTCATTATTTTAAAATAAAAGTGCCTAATCTTATAGATTTTAAGTGGTGCTTATGTTTTACAATATACTGATGCCAGTTTATGATTGCCTTTCATTCTTTTTCAGTGTCTAAAAACCATGTACACAAGTTTTTCATGATATTAAATGTATTTCAGCGTGGTTTAGTATTCCTAAACTTGGGGTACATTGTTTTTGTGAGTATGTTGCATTAACAAGACAAGATGAATGTGTAGGTGTAGTGTCTTTCCACCATTGATTCCACAGAGATCGAACAAATGATGGTGAAGGTGTTTTCTTTTGTTGGTCACCCTGCCTTGGTAGGAGACAGTCATTGAGGTAAAAAAAAAAAAAAATGAACATGTTTTACAAAGGTCTTGAGAGCATACAGGTGTTACGGGCACTTCAAAAAAAAAACACCATTGTATAGATTTATGCTAGGATGACCCAGTAGTCAAATGATGTGACTTCTTGTCCCATCTGTACTGGACAGGGTCACATCAACCCTCCCCATACATTTCCATATCAACAAGTGATCACGGTGAATAGGAAACAATAGGAAGCAAGCATATGTGAGTGTATTTGATAGGAGTGAATGGAGACAAATGGTTTTTAATACTTGACGTGCTGCTGGAGTGTGAGCAAAGTAACATTTATGAAGGGATTCAGGGAAACCGGCAGGCTGGACTTGAGTCCTGGAGATGGGAAGTACAGTGTCTGCATTCTGAAGGAGGGTTTGTTAATGTTGCAGTTTTATAACTATTGTGTAAAGTATCCTTCTGGCAAGACAGTGATGGAGTGAATGATGATGAAAGTTTTTCTTTTTCAGGCCACCCTGCCTTGGTGGGAATCGGCCGATGTGTTAATAAAAAATAAAAAACAAAAAATTTTAGTTTTCCCAAATTACAAAGCTTTAATTTTTATTTATTTATTTATTTTTTTTTTTTTTTTGGGGGGGGGGGAGTCTAATGAATGTAACCCTATTTTCCATATGTTCTGGAGTGAAGAGCAGCTGATGATAAAGTACTGCAGGATAAGAGACCAAAAACACGTTACAGAGTTTCTCACTACTCCTGTACAACTATCGACTTTAGTGCCAGAGCCTTACCATCCACCTTGTCAAACAATACACAACCTTGTTCCTCAGCAAACAATACATAACCTTCCACCTCAGCGTAGTAGGGCCAAAGCATCCCTCTCCACTCTGTTAAGAATCATTAGCATGTACAGTGGACCCTCAGATATCGGCCGTTCTGGATATCAGCCAAATTGGATTTTGGTCTCTTTTTTGGCCGAAATTCTATCCTGGATTTCGTCCAGCAACTCTGAAATTGGCTGTATTGAATGCATAATAATGATCACTCTTGGGCACATTAAATGTCTTAATTTAGGGTAATATAGATATTTTCATTAATCCATCTATGATATTTTCTTCAAAATTATATAAGAAACACATTACATAGTATGTATATAAAAACATGCATCATGATAGCCAATTACAATTTTCCTTATGTTCCTCAGTTTGTTGTAGACAATTTTGTCTTCGACGTCATTTTCAAGAATGTATCTACCACCATATTCAATGATCAGCTGTAATTTCTATTCTCTGAATTCTCTGCATGATGTTCACTGGGTGAAATCTGGCCAGAGAAAATGCATCACGCGTTCTCAGACACAATATCTCCGTTGCCTCTAGTTTTTTCCCTTTTTTTCTGCAGTATTCAAATCCCATGCCTCATACCCATATAAAAATGTTGGTACCACTATACTCTGGCATTATTATTATTAGTTGTAGTATCATTGTTGTCGTCTTTGTTGGTCTCGTCTTTGGTTTTTCTTGGTGTCACCATCATCATCATGAGAGGTGCTAAACCCAAATATCATACAGTGCCTGGGAAATGGGAGATAATCAGCTTTAATGCAAGAAAGAAGTAGCTCCAAATTCTTGGCTAAAAAGCCCTTCATTTGCATTGAGCCATCCTTCTTGAAGGACAAGTGTCCTTGAATTTGCCATGCTTCTTTCATCCTTTTCATCTGTGTTACAGGTCCGCCATCACAAATCTGGCAGTCAGACATCCGGTTCCATCAGATATTCGTCACTAATTTCGGCTAGCATGATTTCAAATTTCCAGAGTCACCACACCAACCTGCTTTTACTGTTTGGTGGCGCTACTTGCTGCATAAGTCATTCCAATTTCTTCTTCTCCATTTATTGTTATAACCTGCTCACTTTTAGCCCTAGTCATGGTTCCAACAAATAAAAGAAATGATTCTTGTTGTGTAAAGCACATACACAGTACATTGTCCATAAAAGATAAGGTGGCTTTGAAGCCGCTGTCAGTTGCCATGAGCTCAGTCTCGTGGTGCAGGGAAATATGCTTTATTATTACGCTAATATCAAGACTATGGCTTATAGGCCTATCACAGTTGATCTAATATGACATAATAAACAATATAAATACAGTGGACCCTCAAATTTCGTAATTAATCCATTCCAGAGAGTGTGACGAAAGTTGAAACTCAAGTATAAAACAAAAAAATTGAAGACTACTGTTGGTGTATAGAAGACAGGAGGAGGGGAGAGGATGGAGAAGTTACACTTGTTTGAAAGGGGACTCCCCTTCCATAAAGACTTTGGGTAACAAGACCTTATCCAGGGTTACTTCCCTGCATTGTTTTTTAATGCCACTAGGACCAGCTTGAGAGTCACTGGACCCCTGTCGCTCAAAAAATTATTCCAGATAGCTCTGTTTCTGGTGTCTCTTTAAAATTTGCCTCAAATGGGACAAGACATTGTCATTGTACATGTTGCCAACATGGCTTGCAACAGCTTTGTCAGGGTGATATTCCTCCATAAATGTTTGCACCTCGCTCCACTGCAAATGTCCTTAAGCTTTGAAGAGGGCACCTTCCATCTGTCTTCCTCCTCCTCTGAAGCAATTTCCTCAGCTGTGGTCTGTTGCTGTTGCAGATGAAGGTATTGCAGCTCTTCAGTGGTTAGCTCTTCATTGTGGTCCTCCACCAACTCTTCCACATCCTAGCCACTCACATCTTACCCCATGGAATTCCCCACTGCCACAATTGATTGCACAACAGGTGTAGAGTCGACAGGGTCAGCCTCATACCCTTCAAAATCTTTGTCGAGGACATAATCCGGCCAAAATTTTCTCCAAGCAGAGTTCATAGTCTTGGAAGTCACTTCTTGCCAAGCCTTATCTATAAGGCCTATGTAGTGGAGGATATTGAAGTGATCTTTCCAGAACTCTCTTAGGGTCAATTGAGTGTCTGAGGTCACATCAAAGCACCTTTGAAATATTGCTTTGGTGTAGAGTTTTTTGAAGTTTGAAATGATCTGCTGGTCCATGGGCTGGATGATGGTCCATGGGCTGGATGATGAAACTAAACTCTTCCATCATTTGGTCATCCAAGTCTGGAGGATGAGCAGGAGTATTGTCCATTACCAGGAGGCGCTTGAGTGGCAATTTTTTTTCCAGGAGGTATTCCTTCACGCTCGGGCCAAACACTTCATTGAACCAATCAACGAAAATTTCCCTTGTGACCCATGCCTTACTGTTAGCCTTCCACATCACACACAATTTACTCTTGACGACACTGTTTCTTGAACACACTGGGATTTACAGAGTGTTGCAGCAGTAAAGGCTTCACTTTGAAATCCCCACTAGCATTACCACAGAACATGAGAGTTAGCTACCACAGAACATGAGAATTAGCCTGTCTTTCATAGGCTTGTGTCCTGGGAGTGCCGTTTCCTGCTGCGTGATGTAGGTCCTCTTTGGCATTTTCTTCCAAAAGAGACCTCTTTCGTCACAATTGAACACTTGTTGGGGGACGAATCCTTGATCCTCTACATAGTCCTTGAATTCTTGCACAAATTTTTCAGCTGCATATTTGTCAGAACTTGTAGGTAGTAGGTTGGTAGATAGCAACTGCCCAGGGAGATACTACCGTCCTGCCAAGCGAGTGTAAAACAGAATCCTATAATTGTTTTACATGATGGTAGGATTGCTGGTGTCTTTTTTCTATCTCTTAAACATGCAAGATTTCAGGTACGTCTTGCTACTTCTACTTACACTTAGGTCATACTACACATACATGTACAAGCATATATATACACACCCCTCTGGGTTTTCTTCTATTTTCTTTTTAGTTCTTGTTCTTGTTTATTTCCTCTTATCTCCATGGGAAAGTGGAACAGAATTCTTCCTCTGTAAGCCATGCGTGTTGTAAGAGGCGACTAAAATGCCGGAAGCAAGGCCCTAGTAACCCCTTCTCCTGTATAAATTACTAAATTTAAAAAGAGAAACTTTCATTTTTTTTCTTTTTGGGCTACCCTGCCTTGGTGGGAAATGGCTGGTTTGTTGGAAAAAAAAAAAATTGTCAGAACTGGTAGCCTTGTCATCCCTTACCACACTGTGTATGCCACTATGCTTCTTAAATCTCTCAAACCAGCCTTTGCTGGCCTTAAATTCACTAATACTGTATCAGCACTTGTTCCAGGCATTTTCTTTACGAGATGGGCATGCAACTGCCTTGCCTATTGGCTGCATAACACTCTCCTGCTAACTGTTTTTGGTTGATCCACACTAACAACAAATTCTCAGCATCTTCGAGTATTCGCAATCTCACTTTTGTGAGCATATCTACCACTTTCATAACAACAGCTTCCTTGATTTCCTTTTTCTTTGCCACAGTGGAAGCGATGGTTGTATGGGGCTTCCCATACATCTTGGCAAGATGGGTCACATGCACTCCACTTTCATATTTTGCAAAGATTTCTTTCTTGTATTCTAACATGTTTCTCACATTCTTTACCAAAGGGCTGACATTACAAGCTTTGTTTGGGCCCATGGTGGCTTATTTAGAAGTTGCAAGCACAAAAAAGAATGGAATATTACGAAATGTATCATATGGACTCGTGCAGTGATGTTCACTTGCCAATGAACAATGCCACACTGACTAGTAGTGGTGTGTAGGGCGCTTTTGTGTGGTGCGGATGCTGGGAGGCCACTCGTATGTGCTCTGGACGAGCGATGAATGGGGAGCCAAATTACAAACCGCGAGGCTAAATTTTGATGAAAGAACATTACAAAAGGCAAAATTTATGAAGCGAGAGGCTTACAAAACTCCGAGGGTCTACTGTAACATAAAAACGCTTTAAATACTCCAGAATGAATAATATTTGGCATAATACCGAGCAGTTTGACGGAGGTATGAAGAGGATGTGGGATACAAGTACCATTCTCCTATCCCTGTCTTTGGGGCTTATATTAGAGAAAACAGTGTATAGCACAGGGCTAACTGTGCTATACACTCGAAATGCACCATAAAACTGAAACAAAAAAGCTATTTTCTCTACATAGATTATCATACATAGCAGCATATGTGTAGAGAACCTAGGATAACCCAAAAAAGTCAGTGACTTATTTCTAGTACCTGACTTGGGCTTGACATATATGATTTTTGGTAAAAAAAATTTTCTCAGTTGTATGTTGGGCTATCTTATTGAAACTTGGGCAGTCGGACCATAAATAATGGAGTTCACTTCTCAGCCATTAGCTGCCCCTTAGTGGTATATTTTCGTATGGTTTTTATGGTTGTATAGGTTTTTTTTTTTTTTTTTTTTTTTTTGTCTCATTTGATAGAAAGGAAGATATTACAGAAATTGATATGATTTTGATTGCCTTCAAAACGAAAAGTACTTTGAAATTGAGCTCAAAATAGCGGAAATGTTCGACTTTTGCCGATGTTCAGTGAACTTTCTTGTGTAAGTCAATTAAGTTAACTTTATAAAGTGTATTCTAACCTAACCACTGTAATCCGGCAAACTCAGTAATCCGGCACACTACAGGTCCCGGTGATGCCAGATTTGTGACAGTGGACCTGTACTGGTTTTAATAGTACAGTATTGCAGTAGTGTTTTGTGTGACTGCCTTTCTCTCTCTCTGATGGACCAACCAATTTTTTTTATGGGCTGCAATGTTGAATGACCATTAGATCCTAGTTGTCTGAAACAACTCTACTTTTGTTATTTTACAAGCTTAAGTTTTGTAATAATGCTGGGAGCAAAGGCTGTTAATTCCTTCTGTATGAATCGCTAAATTTAAAAAGAAGAACTTTAGTTTTTCTTTTTAGGTCACCCTGCTTCAGTGGGATACGGCTAGTGCATTGAAAAAAAAAAAATTGTAATAATGTACCTGAGTTCTTTGTCTAGTTTAATTCACCCCAGCTATTCATTAATAATTTATTAAAATTAAAATACACATTTTATTTAATTATTTCCTAAAATTTCAGCAAAAACACATGATTTCAATTTATTTTTCCTTTTCCAGACTTTGGGGAAAAAGTTGAAAGATGTAGGAAGAGCTGGCTTGTTTAATACATGGATGCTACATGAATCTGACCTGGTTCAGGATGCTGCCAGAGCCTTTGGGGAAAGGTTGATCTCTGACCAGGTAAGTTAACTGTGTTGTGTGTGTGTTTACCTACTTAAGTTTGTTGATTTTGAACACTGAAGGGGGAAGCCGGGTCAGCCATTTCAGCCGGTTTTATTTTTCAACCGATTTCTTTTATTTTTGGTGTACTTTTAGAGGTGCATATGTAGAAGAATGTGACGAAGTTTCAGTATGATTGGCCAACAAACAACAGAGAAAAAAATATTAACATAATTTTGATATATGGCAGCGTGACATGACAGATTGGCACTACGAGTGGCACTTCCGACAATCCCAACTGTTAGAATACATCTAGCACGACCTTTTTAAAATGCCATTTCATCTAATATATCTTATTATCATGGTAAAAAAAAATACATTTGACAGAACTTTTTGGCATTCACCAAAATATCTGCCTTTTACCCCCCACAAAATCAAAAATATTTGAGATATTCCAAAAAACCCGCTTTTAATTAGTCAAACACACTTTGTTTTATATTGTCTGTGAAAATCATTTCAATACAATCATTAATAATGGCGTAGTAAAGCGAAATAAGTGAATAAGTTACTTCCGAGATATAGGCCTAGAATGCCGGCTGGCCCGCCATCTCAATTTTTTTTTTTTTTCGCGAAAATCGCATTTGTTTCGGTGTATTTCTTAGTAAACTGATGTTCTTGTGCAGTTATCCTCTTCAAAACACCATTTTCTATCACTCGCAGACCAAACAATACAACATGGAGTAACTCATTTCTATCAAAATATTGCTGGTGGACTCTTGCTATATTATGGCCTATTTTATTCAGTCTAGAGTATATAACATGTTTGTTTGTTATTTATAGTGTTTATTATATCATATTAGATCAATTCTGATAGATAAATAAGCCGTATAGTTAATATATATGCTGATATAAGCGTAATAATGAAGGGATTTCACCTGGCTCTCTCTGGAGGGGGAGCACTGCCGAGTGTTCCCAGGTGCTTCCTGATAGGCTAGAAGTCTATTGATAAGCTCCACCTACTCTTATATGATGCCAAATAATCAATTATTATATTAGAAAGAATAAAGCAAAGAAAAAGCGATAAAAAACAAGGAAAAAATTCCAAAAAATATATGGGTTGAGAGCAGGCGCGCTACCTACATCGCTGTCACCATACCTGATATAAATGACTATAATTTCTTGTAGAAATGTCGTAGAACATTCACTCTGGTACCATTGTGTTGCCAAAGAGTTAAGCTATTTTTCTGTATATATAACTCAATTTCCATAATTTTTCGATTTTTTTTGAGAGCGCGCCGAAAATTGTTTGACTGCCTCCCCCCTTCACTCTTTAGGCTGCCTCTTCACTTAAACAACTGATGTGACATAGTCCCATCTGGTCCCACTTCTTTATTTGTTAGTGTTCTTCAATTATTTATTAACTTTCTATTTAGTTATCTTAGTGCTACTCACAGCTAAGTGTGATAGAGCCTTTTGAAATGCCCAGAGTTATTATTAGATATTTACAAAATCAAAGCAACAGAACCAAACTAGGTATCACTCCAGATAATTTCTGGGACTTCATAGTAAACTGGCAGATAAAATGGCAAACATTGTGCCAATATTTTATAAAAAGGTGATAAGGAAAACTCTTTAACCCCTTGACTGTCGCAACCCCAAATCCTGAGGTGTCTCCTGGTGCCGTAAATTCCCCCCCCCCCCCCAAAAAAAAAAAAAAAAAAAATTCTTATGAAATGATAGAGAATAAAAATGAAAGAAAAAGGACAAAGTGCAACAAAAGGGACATTTATTGTGGAACGTTTCGCCTCCAGGACTTTATAAGCCTTTACAAACAATACATGGACACAAGGGTATATAAAGGCTCAGAGTGAGGTGAATACTGTGAGTCCCTTTTTTCGAGTTCACTGGGGTAGTAGTGTGGTAGTGAAAAAAAGTAATAATTTGGGTTTAGACAATAATTTGTACATGAGAAAAAAGGTTAAAAAGCTTTATTGGGAACAAAAAAAAATAGGTTGGAAAATAAAAAACGGAAGAGGCGTTGTTTCTTGTTCACTCTCTGGCTTTGGTAGTATAACAGGGAGACTATGTGAGGCAGGGTTTCTGTTTTCAGGGGGATTCTTGCAAAGATTCGGAAGGGGGAAGCTCCCGTTGTTTTGTTTAATTTTTCGAAACAGCGATCAGTGCTGATTAAAGGGCACTTGGTGTGGGGAAATTTAGTTTTTTTATCACAATTGGGGTCTTGAATTTCATAAGAGATTGGGGGAAATTTCGGTTTTGTACACGGGCGTTTTTTAAGTTGGTTCCTACATGGTATATGTTTTCATTGAGGCGGGTGTCGAGGTTTCTTGCTGTTTCACCTACGTAGTCTTGTCACAGCCTCCACAGGGTAAGTGTAAACCCGCTTGGGATGGTTCGTGGTGCTTGGGTTTTGTCCTGGTTAGTCCTTATTAAAGTGGTAGAAGCTGGCGCTTGGTTTTTAGCTTGTAAAAGTACTTTTGAGACTTTTTAGTCCCCCCCTGGGTGGGAAGAATTATAACTTTTTGGGGCGTGTTGATGCGTGGAAAATTTGTGACTAAGGCTCTTTTCTTGCAGTCTTTGATAAAAAAAGAAGGAAATTGTAACTCGTGAATTTTTGGTAATGTAAGTAAATCCTCGAAAGAAATCAGGACTACAAAATTGTATGCCTTGGGAAAAACCCGATGATATGCTCTTTTGGTTGGTATCTTGACTGGAAAGAGTTGGAGATCATTTTTATTGGGGGTTTCCCGATAAACTTGAAATTTGGGTTGTTGTCTACTTTTGGGAATAGGACATCAGGAAAGGTAGCTTGTCATTGGACCTTTTTCTAGTGTAAACTAACGTGGTTCACTGCGTTGGGGCCTTGCCTGAAGATCCGACTCAAAACGTTTGGAGTTATTACGAGGACACGTCCCCGTAAAAGTAACAAGGGCGTTGAAGGGTGTGTTGGCGAAATGTTTGGCTCTAGGTGTTCCATGTATAAGTTGGCTAGGAGGCACTTATTGGGACCCCATTCCCCCTGCCGAGGTTTTGTTTTTAAGTTTTTATTGAAGGAAAAAAAGTTGAAATTAACACAGAGTTCAATCAAGTCAACAAAAACTCCGGGGCCCCAAAAAGTGCCGTCCCCAGCCAAACTTATACATGGAACACCTAAGTCCGAACCTTGCCAACATCATCCCCTTTAAACGTCACTTGGTTTGTTGTGGACGATGTCCCGTAATAACTCCAAAAGTTTTGATGTACGGATTCAGGGGAAGGTAAAGCAGTTGAATAGCGATTCAGTTTACACTAGAAGAAGAGTCCCGTGACAAGTCCTTCCTCGATGCCTTTCACAAAGTAGACAACAAACCCAAATTTCAAATTTATCGGAAACCCCCCAAAAAAAATACTCACACACTTCTTTCCCGTCAAAATACCAAACCAAAAAAAAGGGTATCATCGGGTTTTTCCTAAGAGAACCCAATTTGTGTCCGGTTTCTTGGAGGAATGTACTTACATTTACCAACATTCACGAGTTCAATTTCCCTTTTTTTTTCATCAAAGCTCAAGGAAAAAAAGCTTTAGATCTCATTCTCCACGCATCAACCCGTCCCAACAAAAATTTTAATTCTTTCCCACGCCGGTTGCACTAAAGTCTCAAAAGTACTTTTAAAGAAAAACCCGAGTCGCCACGCTTCTCCACTTCAATAAAAGGTCAACCCAAAAAAAAACCCAACACCACGAACCAGTCATGCAGGGTTTACACTATACCCCTGGAGGCCCCGTGACAAGATCTGTAGGTGAAACAGCAAAAACCTTACACCCGCCTAATGAAACAATACGCATGTAGGCGACAACTTAAACAAGCCGTGTACAACACCGAAATTCCACCCAAAAACTTATGAAATTCAAGACCCCAATTGTGATAAAAAGAAACTAATTTCCGACCGCAAGGCCCTTGAATCGCATGATCGCTGTTTCGAATACAATTAAAAAAAAACAACGGAGCTTTTACCATCTCCGAAGTCTTAGCAAGAATCCCCTGAAAACAGTAAACCCGCCTCACTGTCTTTGTTTATACACAAAACACAAGAGTAACCTGAAAAAAAGTGCCTCATTCCAGTTTTTTAAATTTTTCCAACCTATTTTTGAGGCAAAGAGGGGGAATGTAAGAGTATGTTTTACCAACGCTCTTATTGGTGTGAAGTGGGTGATGAAAGTTGGCGGGGAAGGTGGAGGCAGTGGAGTTCAGTTGAGGGGAATTTGGGGTGAATATAAAGCAGAGATTCGTAGTTTGGGGGTTAGGGGGAGGTGCGGGATTACCAAAACTGTTGTCCAGAGGGCTGAGGAAGGGTTGTTGAGGTGGTTCGGACATGTAGAGAGAATGGAGCGAAACAGAATAACTTCAAGAGTGTATCAGTCTGTAGTGGAAGGAAGGCGGGGTAGGGGTCGGCCTAGGAAGGGTTGGAGGGAGGGGGTAAAGGAGGTTTTGTGTGCGAGGGGCTTGGACTTCCAGCAGGCATGCGTGAGCGTGTTTGATAGGAGTGAATGGAGACAAATGGTTTTTAATACTTGACGTGCTGTTGGAGTGTGAGCAAAGTAACATTTATGAAGGGATTCAGGGAAACCGGCAGGCCGGACTTGAGTCCTGGAGATGGGAAGTACAGTGCCTGCACTCTGAAGGAGGGGTGTTAATGTTGCAGTTTAAAAACTGTAGTGTAAAGCACCCTTCTGGCAAGACAGTGATGGAGTGAATGATGGTGAAAGTTTTTCTTTTTCGGGCCACCCTGCCTTGGTGGGAATCGGCCAGTGTGATAATAATAAAAAAATTTTATGTTACCCAAGTAATAGCTTTTATATCCTTTTACTCATGTACAAATTAATTGCTCTACCATATTGTATTACTTTTGTCACTACCACTACTACTACTACTACTACTACCACTAGTGAACATCGAAATGGTACCTCACTAGTATTCACCTCACTCTGAGCCTTTATATACCCTCTGTGTCCATGTATTGTTTGTAATGGCTTGATAAAGCTCCTGGAGAGCGAAACGTTGCCACAATAAATGTCACTTTAGTTGCACTTGTGTCCTTTTACTTTACATATTGTCGGTAATTCTACCAACTTTATTACAACATAAGAACATAAGAAAGAAGGAACACTGCAACAGACCTACTGACCCATGCAGAGCAGGTCCATGTCCTCTCCCCCAGATTAGACCAATGACCCACCCCCCGGATTATCCCAATGACCCACCCAGTCTGGTCATCCCCACTCAAGCAAGGAGCACTGTACCAGACCCAGCAGCACAAGCTAGTCAGGTCCAACTCACACCCACCCACACCCACTCATGTATTTATCTAACCTATTTTTAAAACTACACAATGTTTTAGCCTCAATAACTGTACTCGGGAGCTTGTTCCATTCATCCACAACTCTATTACCAAACCGGTACTTTCCTATATCCTTCCTGAATCTGAATTTTTCCAACTTGAAACCATTGCTGCGAGTCCTGTCTTGGCTGGAAATTTTCAGCACACTATTTACATCCCCTTTATTTATTCCTATTTTCCATTTATACACCTCGATCATATCCCCCCTAATTCTACGCCTTTCGAGAGAGTGCAGATTCAGGGCCTTCAGTCTATCCTCATAGGGAAGATTTCTGATACATGGGATCATCTTTGTCATCCTCCTTTGTACATTTTCCAGAGCATTTACGTATATCCTTTCTGTAATACGGTGACCAGAACTGAGCAGCATAGTCTAAATGAGGCCTAACCAAGGATATATAGAGTTGAAGAACAGCCTGAGGACTTCTATTATTTATACTTCTAGATATGAAGCCAAGAATTTTGTTAGCGTTATTGCGAACATTAATGCACTGTTGTCTTGGTTTTAGGTTACTGCTAACCAGAACTCCTAAATCCTTTTTGCAATCAATAGTATTAAGATCTACATTATTTAGTTTATATGTGGCATGGTTATTTAACTGTCCAGCATTTAGAACTTTGCATTTGTCAATATTAAACTGCATCTGCCACTTCTCCGACCATTGCGTCAGTCTATTCAAATCATCCTGGAGTGCTCTCATGTCCTCATTAGAATGAATTGGACGGCCTATTTTGGTGTCATCAGCAAATTTGCTTATGTCGCTATTTATTCCCTCATCTATGTCGTTTATGTAAATTGTGAACAACAACGGGCCCAACACTGACCGCTGAGGAACACCGCTTCTGAGGATCTTTTCCCAATTGTAATGACACAAAAAGAACAAAATTTGATGGAAAACTGACGGAATTACGCTCTTGTGAAGTTAGCGACCTTTGGCAATATTTACGAATCGGCGATTTCGCCCACTTTAAGCCCTATTTTCAGCTAATTCCGTTGTTCCAGTCGACCAAACTCATAGCTATTTCTTTAGAACTCCATTTTTTTCTGTCGATTGAGTACAAGAAACTGCCCATTTACCAATTTCAACTACCCAGTAACGTGATCAGAAATTTGCAATTTGGCCAATTTCATGAAAATTTAAAAATATGACAATTTCAAAATAGGGTCCAGAATGAACAGTGCAGACATTCCTGGCTCTAAAATAACTTTCTGTAGTCATCAGTCACATCTCCAGGCCCCTATGATATTACTCTTGCCTTCTATTCTGAATTTTTATTCAAACAAAAAATAAAAGATTTACTGTTATGCAGACTACTGCAATATTGTAATAATTGTATAAATAATGTCAACCCATTCATGACTGTATATTAGAATGGCTAGTTGGACATTTATTGGACAATGACATCATTTGTTTACTTTTGAACATCGGCAAAAATCAAACATTTCCCCTAATTTGAGTATATATACGTCAAAAACGGTGGCTCGTAAGACGTATGTATACGACCGAAACTTGTTTCACTAATAAGTTTTACTCAAACTGGAAAATTCATTTGTAAAAGGGTAGATAAAAAGCATGGAGAGCATTACCCTGTTAGCAGATGGTACCGTTTCAGATTTGCATAATTCTCTACTGTATATTGTATTTATGTACTGTTATTAGGTCAAAATTTGTGTGATTTATGGCAACTTATGGGAGCGAATTATGGATGTGGTTAGGACTGTAACCTGATTATTTTGTGATCATGGTTCCTGTACTAACATGAAATTAGTTACAATACAGCAAATTCTAACATAGGTGAGAATTTGTAACAATGTCAGTAATTTAATAATAATGTTAGCTACTTTTGAAGTGATTGAAAGGGAAAAAAAGAGGGGGGCGAGTTGAGGCATATGTGGAGACAAAGAATGTTATCCATGTAGGCAAAAAGTGGAATGTATGAGAGGATAGTGGTACCAACACACTTGTATGGGTGTGAAGCACGGGTTGTGAACGTTGCAGGGAGGAGGAGGAAGTGTGTTGTGTAAATATGTAGAGAATTCATAGCTTGGAGATTAGGAGGAGGTATTGTGATACTGTCAGTATTATCCACAGGGCTGAGGAGAGGTTGTTGAGGTCATTTGGACATTTAGAAAGGATGGAGGAAAATAGGATGACTTGGAGAGTGTATAAATCTGTAGTGGAGGGAAGGGGGTAAGGGTTACACTAGTATAGGTTGGAGGGGGGGGAGTTAAAGGAGGTTTTGTGTGTGAGGGGCTTGGACATCCAGCAGGCATGTGTGTGTGTGTGTGTTAGGAGTGAATGGAGGCAGGTGCTTTGGGACTTGACAAACTGTTGAAGTATGATCAAGGTAACATTTTATGAAGGGATTCAGGGAAACCTGAGTCTTGGAGGTTGGAAATACAGTGCCTGAACTCGGAAGGAGGGGTGGGGATATTTGCAGTTTGGAAGGGCATTAGAACTGTAGTATCGGCATGTCTCTAGCAAGACAGTGATCGAGTGAATGATGGTGAAAGTGTTTTATTTTTGGGTCACCCTACCTCAGTGAGAGACAACCAGTGTATTTCTTTTATTAACGCATTGACCATTTCTCACCAAGGCAGGGTGGCCCGAAAAAGAAAAGCTTTCATTATCATTCACTCCATCACTGTCTTGCCAGAGGTGCGCTTACTCTACAATTATAAAACTGCAACATTAACACCCCTCCTTCAGAGTGCAGGCACTGTACTTCCTATCTCCAGGACTCAAGTCTGGCCTTCCGGTTTTCCTGAATCCCTTCATAAAGAGTACCATGCTCACACTCTAACAGCGACGTCAAGTCCTAAAAACCATTTGTCTCCATTTGCTTCTATCTAACACACACACACATGCTTGCTGGAAGTCCAAACCCTTCACATGCAAAACCACCTTTACCCCCTCCCTCCAACCTTTCTTAGGCCAACCCCTACTTGCCTTCCCTCCACTACAGATTTATACACTCTCGAAGTCATTCTATTTTGTTCCATCCTCTCTTACATGTCTGAACACCTCAATAACCCTTAGTTTTGGTAATCCTGCACCTCCTCCTAATTTCCAAACTATGGATTCTCTGCATTATATTCATACCATACATTGCCCTCAGACATATCTTCACTGCCTCCAGCCTTTTCCTTGTTGCACCATTCACCACCCATGCTTCACACCCATATAAGAGCATTGGCATAACTATACTCATACATTTCCTGCTTTGCTTCCATGGATTAAGTTCTTTGTCTCAGTGTATTTAAATAATAAGAATATTTAAATAATAGAATAATGTGTTGACAGCATTGAATAACCAGATAATGGAAAAAACCAGTTATTTATAGTTCAAGACATTTATTAAAGGAAATGTTTCACCATAAGTGATTTCATTAATCTTGTGGCAAAATGTTTTCTTTAATAAATGTGCTGAACTGTATACAGGTATTCCTTTCTACAGTTTGTTGGTGTCATCAAACCATCTACAACCAACACTGAATAGTTCTGGTGCATTGTACATTGTACATTATAACTCTGCTCTACTTCACCTTTTACAAAATTATATTTTAAATTTGGCCCAGAATTTGTTCCATTTTTTATATTTGTGATATCTATTTCATGAGTTTGGAGAGGTTCTTAAGAAGTGTGAGAGCAGTCTGAAACCTTCACTGGCCAAATTGTATCACCTGTACCTGCTGAACATTGTAGAGAAGAACATGGCTACCTTCATAACTACAGGTCTCATATCCCCAGAGACTGCCACAAAGGTACGTGCTACTCGCTGATCTCTTAGCCCAGATCAGGGGTTCTGACCCCTGATCTGAAACTTATTCTCAGGGTCAGAGAATTTAAAAAAAAAAATCTTATTTTTCTTATGAAATGATAGAGAATCTTTTTCAGAAGGTAATGAAACTAAAAGCGTGAAATTTGATGGAAAACGTATGGTAATACACTCTTTCAAAGTTAGTGGTCTCGGCGATATTTACGCATCGGTGATTTTGCCACTTTGAGCCCTATTTTTGGCCATTTATATTGTTCCAGTTGATCAAACTCATACCTAATTCCCTAGTATTCCTTCTATTCTAACAAGTGAGTACAAGAAGCCATCTATTTACCTATTTCAGCTATGTAATAATGTGATCAAAATTAGTACTTTGCCCAATTTCACACACAATTCAAAAATTGCCAATTTAAAAATAGGGTCCAGAATAAACATTGTAGACGTTCCTGGCACTGAACATTTCCTCTGTTCATTAGTTACATCCCCAGGCCTCCCCTATGTTACGCTTGCTTTCCATGTTGAATTTTTTTCACACAAAAAATTATTTACTATTATGTAGATTACTGCATTATTGTAATAATTGTATAAATAATGACAGTGCATTTGAGAACACGCATTAGACTGACCAGTTGGATGCGTATTGGATGAGTGACATATTTTGTGTACTCTGGAATATAGACAAAAATCGAACATTTTGGCTACTTTGAACTCAATTTCAAGCTACTTTCACTCCTGAAACCAATCAAAATCATCTATTTCTGTAATACGGTGGAACCTCGGTTTTTGTATGCCCTAGTCTGTATGTAAAAACTATAGATAATCTCTATAAAATGTATTTTTTGTTAATATTTCCCATAAGAAATAATGTAAATCCAATTACAATCTGTTCCAGACGCCCAAAAATATTAACAAAAAATACATTTTATAGAGAATAACTATAGTTTTACATACAGACTAGGGCATACGAAAACCGAGGTTCCACCGTATATCTTCTATTCTATCAAATGAGCCTAAGAAACTGAGAATACAACTATAAAAACAATACAAAAATACACTGCAAAGTCACTGTTTTAAGCCAAAAACATGGTCAGTTTTTTCCTCGTGCACTGCCTGCTGCAGGATTTTTTTATGTGGTGCACACTTAATGCAAAAGACCCATTCTCTCATATCTAGGCCCAGATTTAATGCTCACAGCTTATCTGAAAGAGCTGAGCTCATCACAGAACAACGGGACTGACCCGCACTTCAAAGCCATAGTACAACAGGACCCACTCTGAAGGGGTTAATAACAATTGGTATTTCATTGTTGCTAAGAGAGTCAAACTGTGACTGTTCATGATCCTTAACCCTTTCAGGGTCAAGACCCCCGATCCTGAATTCGTTCTCAGGATCGAAAATTTTTCAGGAAAAAAAAAAAGGTTTTTCTTATGAAATGATAGAGAATTTTCCTGATGGCACTGATACCAAAAGTATGAAATTTAATGGAAAACTCATGGAATTATGCTCTCGCAAAGTTAACAGTATCAATGATATATACAATCGGCGATTTTTCGCCCATTTGACCCCTTTTTCGGCCAGTTCCCAAATTTTTCCCAGTTGACAAAAAAATCTAATTTTTTTTGCTAAAAACTCTATTTTTTCTATCGATGAGTCAAGAAATGCCCCATTTATGATTTCAACTATGCAATAGAGGGTCAAAAAAATTGGCAATTTGGCCAATTTCACACAAATTTAAACGATCCAATTTCAAAATAGGGTCCAGAAAAAATAAGAAGACTTCCTAGCACAAAAATAACATTTTCTGTTCGTTAGTCATGTCTCCGGGGCCCCCTCTTTTTACTCTTGCTTTCCATTTTGAATTTTTATTCTCAAAAAATGTTTTTTACTGTTATGCAGATACTGCATTATTGAAAAAAAATGGTTAAAATAATATCAGCGCCTTGTGAAAGAATGTTAGACTCCCCTTTTGATATGTATCGGACCCCTGGTGTGATTTGTTTCTCTTGAACATCGGAAAAAAAGAACTTTCCCACTATTTGAGTAAAATTTCCAAAGGTCTTTTATCGTGAAACCAATAAAAATCATTTCCAGTTCTGTAATTATTTTCCAGTCTATAAAAAGGACCAAGAAAACGAGAAACTCCTTTAAATACCATACAAAAATACGGTACACTGAAAAAGTCGTGTTTTAAACCCAAAAACATGTCGGAGTTTTTTTTTTTTTCATTATACACTGTGTGCTGCGGATTTTTTTTTTATATGTCAACTGACACGCAGCCCCTTCTTTCATTGTAGGCCTACCATTTTTCTCTCGCTAGATTTTAGGCACTGGTTTTTTCGCATTAAAGTAGCACCATCCCTGGCTTTCAAGCGTGAAAGTACAGACCAACTTAAAAAGGGTTAAGATTGATTGTGTGTGCTTTTTTTGTGTATGCCTTTCAAGGATGAAACACACCAATTCAAGGGGGGAGGGGGTGATTACCTCAAAACCCTCTTCATCTTCCACCATTCTTCTTGTTTTTTGGATTGAAGAAAAAAAACCTGGCTGGTGAAACATTTTAGAATGAAAAATTCCCAAATGTTCCCCCAAAGGGCTCAAAAATCAACTTGTTGGGTTTCTGAACCTTTTATACAAGGGGTCAAATGCAGTTAAAAGGCATTGAAGATAGATTATTTTGGTGGAGAGAGGGGGATAATGATTTCTTACATTTTAATTAGTTTTTTTTAAAGAAGGTTTGTATATTTATGATGTGATTTCCATGTAATTGTTAATAAAAAGTGTTTTTCTTTTATAGGGGTTTCTGTGTCTCGTGCTGTGTGCAGGGTCTTTGGACGTGCCCCTTTTCTCTTGCGAGGCCCTTTTCCATCATGAGCAAGCTGTCTGCACCCAATTTCCAAAAAATGGGTGGAATAAAATTAAAATTGGAGAAACAAGGGGAATTTTGATTTTAACTTTCTTAAAACTAGGCTCGCAGTAATTAATGATTCACTTGGGAAAAACCTTATAGAGTATTTCCTGTAAATTAAGTTACTGCTTTGTTTCCTTTGAAATTTTTTTTTTTAAAGTCTATATTTTTGGGTTTGTAACAGAATCAAGGCTCTTTTTTTTTGGAAATGATTAGAAAAAGTTAGTGAAAGTGTGTATTTTTTTAAATGATTTATAACTAAAATATGTGATATGACGCTTGGAATTTCTTGTATTAGAAAAGAAGGAGGCAGTACTTTTGTATGAAGTGATGTGCTTTTGTGTATGTACATATATTACAAAGTTTTTGCCAGAATGGGAATATTAAACCCGAGAGATCAGCACAAAGGGTAAGATTATGTGGAAAATTTTTGTAGATCATCCTCCTTTAGAATGGGAAACTAAATTTTAAATATTGGTTTTGGTTTACAAATTTATTGCATTTTGTAGTGAAAATAGAGTATTTTAGGATTTGAACTTTGGTCTGGAGGTTTTTGAAGGTAATGCCCGTTCTTGATTTTTTTTTTTAATACAGCCATTTGATTTTTTAAATAAATGTATATTTTTAAATAAAATATTTTCTTAAGTATATTTTTTGACCACTTGTTTTTTTGAAAATTTCACATTTTTTTCCCCTGTTCATGCGCCAAAAAAAAATTTTTAATTTTTTATATTTTTCTATTTTCTTTTATATTTTGGTTCCATATTCCATATTTCTTCCTATTACCCCCAAAGGCATTTTGATAGTAAAAATTTCCTATTTGTAATTTACAGGCAGAGCATACCTCTGGGTCTTTCAGTGTTAAATTTGGGTTTGTGTTCAAGGTTTTAGCACATGGAATGGGATCCCCTTTTATTCCATTCCGTTTTTACCACTAGTTTTCGAAGAAATTTTCTGAAGCCTTTTAAAAACAAGAAATTTTGGTGATTAGAGCATTTCCCGTAACCCCTTTTTTTAAATTGGTGCAAATTTTTCCCCATCCTTTTATTTTTTTTCTACAGCACATGCCTCTATGTACTGTAGTGTGTGCTGTATTTTTTTTCTGTCTCAGTGTCACTGTCAAATTTAAAACATCTGTACATTTATAATTGGTGTCTTTCTTTAAACAAAAACTTTTTCATTTATTTGTCATTAAGTGCATCCACAGTTCCCCACTGCCAGAAACCTTCCTGCAGCATTTTATAAATTAAAAGCTCCCAAAGGGTTATTCATAGAAAAATATACATTGTGTTGAGAATTTAAAAATAACTGCAGTAGTAGGCACAACGTTTAAGGCAAATGTTTTTCAAAGAATTTCGAGTATCTGACTTTGTTCATGCTTCTTTGCGTGTGCTGGTATGTATGGTTGTACATACTTAACTTCTTGTTAAAAATGCTGTATAATCTAATAGGTTGAATTGCTTTGTAAAATTTAGTTTCCTGCCTTCACTCACTTGCTTGAAAGACATGCAGTCCTAATTCAGTGAAAAACTATCCTTGAAAAAATTACTAGTAGTTCTGTATAAGAAATTCTAATTATATGTTGACTTCATTAAGTCTCTAAGTAATATTTATATTTGTAGGTGATTTAAAAGTTTATTAATGTTAATGCAATGATTATTTATTTATTTATTCTTCTTTCAACAAACCGGGCGTATCCCACCAAGGCAGGGTGACCTAAAAAGAAAAACCAAAGTTTCTCTTTTTAAATTTAGAAATTTATACAGGAGAAGAGGTTACTAGCCTCTTGCTCCCATTTTTCAATTTCAGGTTATAAAAAACTGAGGTTATTATAGCTTTCAATATTGAATTTTGTATCAGTATTGTGGAATTTTGTATATAGGCACCAAGATCAATTTTGACTATTATTTATGTGATGAATGGTTTGAAAAACCGACAAGTTGAAGATTGAGACACTTATGCAGCATATGGGAATCTTTATTCAGGAAACGTTTCGCCACACAGTGGCCACTGTGTGGCGAAACGTTTCCTGAATAAAGATTCCCATATGCTGCATAAGTGTCTCAATCTTCCACTGTTAT